GCTCACAACTTCCCGTGCTCTCGTCGCAACGTACATGAAGCCAGCTCCGCCAGTTATTAAGATGTTCTTTGCATCAGGAAGAGGCTCGAAGTTGGTGCTGCCAATAAGTATCGGCGCCTGCTTCCATAGTTCCTGCTTCACATGCGATCTCGCATTGAGAACGGTTGACCGTCGCCGGCCTGGTGCTGTTAGCGTCGGGGTTGGACTGTGCCTTGCATTGCATCGTGCAGGTGCCCAGGTGGAGACTCACGCTTTACGCCATTGGTGCCATTGGGCACATAGTGGGCGCTGTCAGAGCCTTGGGTGGAACCCATAGTAGCGGTAGCTTGTGTTGTCATCTACCAAGAGTCGTCGAACGCTTGCATGACATGCTCGAGTTTAACATGCAATAAGTTGTACTGGTCACGTATGCGCGCTGCTGCCGCGTGTCTCAAGCACGAGCGCGATACGGCACTAACCTGACGCGGAGATGCATCCGTCATTGCGCGTTACGTCATCAGAATGGCGAAACTGTCTAGGTGCTCAACACCAGCTGGGCGAGAACGCTGCATCAACACCGCATATGCCCGCATTCCGACACAGCGAATCGTTAGGCCCCGATACATACCATGCATTGGAGCTTCTTTGAGCGAAGACCAGCCGTTCCGGATCCGTGAATAACATACCTACCGCACCGACAGACGAGCCGTAACAACGCTATGCATCAATTAGAACCAAAGGCGCATATTCTTCTTCCTCGAAACCAAGGATCATCTCCCGCTGGCCAGCGGAGTCTGTTCCACGTATTTGTAGCTCAACGGAATCCAGCACAGGAGACATGACAGGGACTGCGTTGCACATACCCCGCTTCTCCCCCAGCCCGTCAACACCTATCTACGCGTCTCGTAGCTTTCGCAGCGAATTGGATATGTCGGCGCGATACACATGTTGCGGATTACGCATTTCTCTATTTCCGGCCCTCCCGCGAACAGCCAAAGCGGGCTGCCCCACCACGGTAATGTGGGGATGATCCCCAGCCGCAGCCTTCGAGAACGAAGCAACGGATGTGATTACGTGAAGGCGCGTGTATAAGCTTCTCATCTAAACATCATGACCATCGCTGTCATCAAGCTCTCTGCACCCACCAGCTTCTCGGTCTACTATTGAGCTAATCGCCTTTTTGTATTGCGAGCATGTGGGCTACTATTCTTCTTCTGTTGGGCATCATCGCTCTTATACTAGACTACAGTCGCATGCTGTACCTGAGATGGCGAATGGTAGTTGCTTACCCTTTGCCAGCTTCATGTCGGGTCTGTCACTAATACTACACGAACAGCCCCCAGGACCATTGCCTTGGCCCATCGTTGGAAACACGTTTAGTCTACCGGAAGAGAAGCCTTGGTATCTTATGGAACAGCTTTCGAAACGCTACAACTCCCCGCTTATCACATTCTGGATCGGGCGGTCAGTTCTAGAGCAAGTCTATCGTTGTGGACGGTGAATAACACAGCACAGGAGACCGACAGTCTGGATCAATGATGCATGGACTGCAGATGAGCTGCTTGTCAAGCGAGCAAACATCTACAACTCTAGGCCTCGCATGCTGATGTTCGCTGAGCTGATGTCCGGTCAAATGAATCTGCTGCACAAATACACGTACACGAAAGAACAGCGTGAACGGTTTCGCGACCTCCGGAGAGTTACCCACCAGGGTGTTGGGATACAGCAGGTGAGCGGAACGTAGATTTTCACTTTGTATATGCTAACGCCGCCAGATAAAACGCCATCGGAGCCTTCAAGACGACGAGAACAAGATAGTAGTATGCGACCTGCTCGAGACACCCGACAAGTTTGTATCACACTTCGAGCGATACGCTACAAGCGTCGTATCCATCATCGGCTTTGGACGTCGAATTGGAGACATTCAAGACCCTTTGATCACCGAAGTTATCGCTCAGATGCAGACTTCTGCTAAGATGGCCGTCGTCGCCAAGGACTTCCCGCGACTAATGGAAACCTTCCCATGTAATATTCGAAGCCACTTACTCAAATCCATGCTAACAAAGACAGGGCTGGCCAAGTTTCCCAATTGGATGGCTCCTTGGAAGCGTGATACTCGACGTTCAGCAAAGCCCAAATACGGCCGCAATGATTTTTTCTATGCTTTGGCTGAAGAAGCCAAGCAATGTCCAGAAGAGAACTACTCCAAGTACCTGTTTCGCGAAGCACCTCATCTCAATCTTCATCCTCTCGAAATCTCCAATCTCGCCGCTAACCTACTCGGTGCTGGAGCGGACACATCAAGTAGCACTCTACAAACAGCGGTGCTGGCAATGCGTGCCTTCCCCGAGACCCTTGAACCCGCGTGGGAAGAGCTAGACCGTGTAGTGGGTCGATCGCGAAGTCCGACGCTCGATGATGATCTTCCGTATCTCCGCGCTTTTGTCAAGGAAGTCTTCCGCTGGCGTTCGGTTGCGGTTATAGGAGGGACTGCTCATGCACCCACCCAAGATGACTACTACAACGGCTACCATATCGCGAAGGGTACCTGGGTGCAGGGCAACGTCTGGGCGATACATCACAACGAGCGCGAATTCCCCGATCCTGATCGTTTCAATCCTAGGAGATTCTTGGACACAGACGACAAGAGACCGTTTCCGGGGGAGAAGGGGTATATGACGTTCGGGTTGGGAAGAAGAAGTTGTGCTGGTCAAGCATTGGCTGAGCAGGGTACGCATCTCAGTATCGCACGATTGGTGTGGGCGTACAAGGTGGAGCCAGAGGTGGACCCAAGGACGGGGGAAGAAGTGCCTGTTGATATCTTCAAGTTCACGTAAGTCGTGTTTCGAGACCCCAAGGCTATAAAGCGTTATGGGTACTGACGTTAAGCAGGAGCGGATCGAACTGGCGACCCCAGCCATTCAAGGTCAGATTTACACCCAGACACGAAGAGATTAAGCAAACCGTTATCCGAGAGGCGCTGCAAGCACGGCAAGACTTGGCGAAGTATGATCGCGAAACCAAGTACACGTTCAGCACGTTCTACGAGTAGGGATTGGCTGAAATACGATATCATTCATGGATTGTATGTATGCGTCGACTCGCGAGGTCGATCAAGTCTCGAAATGGCAAGGTGTTGGGCATTTCCATACAGCTGTGCATAACACCCCTGCCAGTGCGGAGAAGACATGGGTTTCTCCTCACTGCCCCACGATGCTAACCTCGCATGACTCGCAAATCTCGCTGTATAAGGCTGTGATTCCTTCTTCTCGCAGATGTATGCCGGTCTGACCTCGCGCGCGCAATAATGGCGAAACTTCAGGAGACGTCCTTGTGGGCGAATCGCAAATGCTTACTCATATGCTCCGCCGTCGCTATTGCTAGCATGCAGTACGGCATTGATACTGCTGCAGTAGGCGGTCTGCAGGCCATGCCTGGATTTCTGATGGTCTTTGGGTATGAGGACCCGACAAGCCCGCTTGGCTATGGCATTGATGCAAGTTTACATAGCCTATAACATCGCGAAAGTTACTGACGCGCAAGATAGTCGACGGTGCAACAGCTCATGACCTCCTTGCTAAATCTAGGTTCGTGCGTATCTGCTATTGCTGCTGGTGTGTTTGGTGGCTACTTCGGTCGCAGAAAGGCCTTGTGGCTCGCATGCATCATTTGTTTGGCTGCAGTTTCGGTACAGATTGGCTCTACGTCCAAGGCCGGTTTGTACGTAGGTCGTCTGTTGCTAGGCTTCTCCAACGGCTTCTTTGTCGTATTCTCGACCGTGTATTGTAGCGAAGCAGCACCGGCGCATCTTCGGGAGTACGTTTCCGGGTCTCTTCGCGGACAATAGATATACTGACAATTGGCAGAATCATGGTCGGACTCTTCTCTTTCTACGTGAATCTCGGAAGCATAATAGGTTCCATCATCGACAACTACACTTCACGCTACCTCTCGAAACTCTCCTACCAAGTCCCCCTCGCCTGCATGTTTATTGTCCCGGTTCTACTCGGCACAACGCTTTTCTTCGTCCCCGAGAGTCCGCGATGGCTTCTACATCGTGATCAACATGATGCGGCGCGCAAGTCTTTGGAGCGTCTTCGCTTCGACCATGGCGAAGAGCTGGAGTTGGAGTGGGCGGAGATGATCCGTGGCGTAGAAGAAGAGCGTAGGCTTAGTCAAACCTCAGGCTTTCTCGATCTCTTCCGCGGTAACGACTTGAGACGCACGCTACTCTGTTGGGGCACAATTGCCAGCCAGTCAGCGAGTGGCGTCTGGTTCTTCATTGGTTATCAAACCTACTTCCTCGCCATCGCTGGTATCACGAAAGCCTTTGAATACAGTATTATGAACTCCTGTATCGGGTTCATTGGTGTTCACCTTGGTCTTTTCTCCATGAACAAATTCTTTGGCAGAAGGACGATTATGATTGCCGGGGCAATAGCATGCGGTTTATGTGAGCTTGCTTGCGGGATCGCCAGTAGCGTAAAGCCCAACTCAGTCGAGACTGGAAACGTGTTAGTGGCTTTTACGGCGCTGTTTCTGTTTTGCTATAATGCCGGGGTGGGCGTTGCGACAAGCCCTCTAGCGACAGAGCTTGTCAGTTCAAGACTACGAGCTTGGACAGTTGGCAGCGCGAATGCGCTTGGCTACTTCCTGGCTTGGCTGATCGGCTTTTGCTCGCCATACTTTATAAACCCTCAGGATCTTGACTGGGTAAGTAGCCACGCGATGGAATCTCCTGTCTATGACGCTAACACCATCGTAGGGCCCACAATACACGTACATATGGGCAGCTTCGAACTTCATTTGTGTTGCCTGGTTCTACTTCTTCCTCCCGGAGACGAAGGCGCGATCACTAGAGGAGCTGGATGAGATCTTCGAAGCTAGAGTGGCGGCACGAAAGTTCAAGCTGTATGAGTGCAGGATCGTGGAGGATGCAAAGCATGATGTTTTGGGGAAGGAGACAGTTGAGACAACAAAGCAAGCTGCTTGAAAAGCTACATATATGTCTTTCGTAGGTATCAGTTACTACGCATCTCTTCCTGCTCATCATCGTGAGGTACTTTGATCCGAACCCTCACAATCTCATCAGCGATCGTGGGCGGATCATCTGGCGCAGGGAATTCATAGGACATTTTCCATCCCAAAGAGGGCAAGGCCAGTACTTGTTCATGAGTCCGATCGGGATGCCAATGCGACTCCTGGAACCAGTCTGAAATCCATTGCCACGGGATCAATGCTTTCTCATAGCTCGTAAAGTCAGTCGTGGCCTTGTAGGTTTTCTCACCGATTGTAAAGATAGGGGATGAAACAGCGGGAGGATCGTCGCTGTGGAAAAACTTTGGAACAGCAAGACCGCTGACATCTGTGTAGCTCATTGGTGCCTTGCCTTGGTCAGCAATGAATTGGACAAATCGGACAGAACGCTCGCCGAAGACTGACCGCTCCCAAGAGAGACCGCATTCGGGAGATGGAAGAACCCTGGCTTCTTCCTCACTAGCAAAAGCTTCGCGCGTTTGACCTCGAAGGTCCGCGCACTTGAAGTCCGGGAACTTGTCGAGACAATGTGCCAGCTCATGAACCAGGACGACAGCGAGAAGAAATTGAGGACCCAGGTTTTGTACAATCGGTGGAGCGGCAGGCTCAGAAGTACTTGGAGTAGTGGCTTTGAGACTCGGATCGAGTATGTTGCGGAAGAATGAGTGCAATAGCACAGAAGGGCTGGTTTGTTTTAAGCCTCCCGGGCGATATCGCCAATCCGCACCCATCTGATCATCGCACCAAGCTACCATACAAGAGCGTATCTTGGTCTCTAGATCGATTTTAGGCCAGTTTGAAAGCTCCAAGATATCGTTATGACTTCTGTCCTTAGTCGCGTACGCTGTATACGCCGTTCGAAGGTCTTTGAATGCGAAGGTTAATGCCATATCCATGTCTTTCGGTGTACGATTGGATGCTTGCACCTTCCACGTCAAAACGCTAGCTAAGTTGCTAAGCTTCTCCTTCCAGTCGGCCATCAAGACGGATGGGTGTTCGTTCTGAGAGGTCGAGGTGTAGATAAGTGGTGGCGGGAAGTCTGCTGCGAAGGTCTTGGAAGGTGAGGTCGTGCTTCTCATTTGATGCCAGAAATACTGCAGAACTCGTTCATCGCTTACGAATCGACTGCCAAGCTGTAGAGCAGGCTTCATGTTATCGTACATGTTCTCTGAGACGCCAATGAACCGGTCGCGAGCGAAGATTGGTGCGATCTCGTTGCTGAGACTACTTGTACTCGAAGTGACATTGAAGAAGCCTTGTTCCTGGAGATGCTGGATCGCGGCTTTCTGTACGTTATCGACATGGCCTTTGAACTCGTGCATGATTGATAAGATACGAACTATCGTACTGCGCCCGTCTGAACACTTTAATAGTGATCTCCAGGGTATGCTTGCTGTTAGCAAAGTGTGTCCTGATGCGATGCTACTAGTCACGATGGATATGTAGATTAGTTTGCAGCAATCAACAACTTGAATAACCACACCGAGATGATGGGGAATTCGCAGGGCTTTGCAGTCATGGTGAAGTATGGCCATTTGTATGTAGTTCAGTGTACATCTCCATGCTCGCTCAAACGTGGCCATCAACTAAAGCCAAGCCAAGACACTGAGCGTTGCAGCCATTGCTAAGGCTGTCATACCGAGCTTTTGCGAGGCCAAGGTGCTTGTGCCAGCGTCTTGTTTAATCAGCAAGCTGTAGTAGTACGAAATTAGATGAGACGGATACATACCTTCAACATCGGGAGTCTCCGTTGCTTCAGCACCCTCCTCTTCTGACTCAGTGGTGGAAGGCGACGCCTCAGTGGACTCGGGCGTCCGAGTCTCTTGGGAAGTAGACGGTGTCGATACGACTCCGGTGTTGGATGATGACATCGCTGAAGTCGAGCTCGCAGACACGACTACACACGGTCCGCCCAGGAAAGGATACGCCGACGGGGCCATGTCGTTGACACATTCGAAGAAACCGTTTCCGTCGTCTGCCTCGCACCACTGGGTGCAGTCATTCAGGATACGGACCTCGGCATCACTGTTGCAGCAGGATGTGATGTTGACATCGTTTGGAGGAACATTGACCTGGCAAATCTGGCCTGTGAGTCCCGTAATATTGAGACCATTAGGAGCGATGTTTGGATAACAAGAGGTGGGTGTAGGCAGGGCTACGCTCGATGGGATCGGAACGATTTCCCATGCGGCCGAACTGAGTGTTGATGTCATGATGTTGTGAAAGATGCAGTCTCTGTGAAGAACGCGGAAACGAGAAATGAGCGAAGTAGGAAGGCAAACAGGAAGAGCACGATACGTGGTAATGCTCTTGTATATCTAGGTAGGTAGCAGCGATGCAACAAACGCGACGTCATCTGTCATACTGGAAGCCGACCGACCCGGAACGGTGTCTTAGTACACTACCAAGACAGAACAAGGCAGAATCAAATAACATCACCCTTTGCTGTCTCAGTGCATCGCCCACTCTGAAGCCGCCTGGGAGCGCGCCAAGAGCGGGCACGGTTAGCGCGGCACTACTGGCGCCTTCAGGTACCCGTGCCTCTCACACCTCTACTTGCAGTTATCCGGCAACCTTGCAATACGGTACGCCTGGTTATAGCGACGCTTGAAGTGATGTTATTGTTGTGGATTCGAAAAGGGGTAAGATCGTCGTGACTTTCGCATCAAACGGAAGATTGGATCGTTTTAGGAAGGTTGACGGCCATTGTATTACATATGTTTGTGCTATTCAGCCGCGTTTCTACCGAGAGCCTCATATCAAAGATTGATTCCGTTCAAAGAGCTCCCTTGTTAATATGATATGTAAGATAAGGGGCAGCCCATCATGATCGTCACACACGATGTTCAACAGCACTCGCTGCTTGAGGCTGGCAAACTCCAAGAGTGAGCGGCCAAGATTCGACGACAGACTGAATAGGCGTGTGCAACAGTCGTTATCAGCCACCCAAACAACTGTGTTATTTGCAGTCGGGGAGTAGTTCACCCGCTTCGAGATTTTGCACGAGTAACGGCTTCATAGACTCCAGCCCAAGGGTTGAACGACGTGAATTGTCGCCGGAAATAGAAAGAAGAATGGGATCTTCATGTCATCTCGCGTGAGAGTAACATATCAACAACAGTAATTTCCAATTCACATAAACTATTATTTAGCTATTTTGAAGAGACTGTATTTATACTCTACAAAAACCACTAAACTACAAGTTCTATAATTTAGAGATTGTCTAAAACCTAACTTCTTAACTTCTTAGATTTTCTACTTTGTCTAATCGTTATTTCATTAATTTCGCATCTACTCTACTATCTATTATCTACAATTACTAGAATGGCGAATCGCTGGACTAGTAAATCTGTAATGTGCTTCTTGTCTCTTTAGTAGAATCACCAGAACGGCAAATCGCCAGAGCAGGAATTCCGCAAATTTGCTTCCTATCTTTGTGTAGAATTGCCAGACCCGCAAGATACCAGGCGGCAATCCTACAAATCTAGTTCCCATCTTTCCGTACAATTGCCAGATCAGCAAGATACCAGGGCGGCAATTCTACAGATCTAATTCCAACCTTTCCGTAGAATTCCCAGAACGATACAATGCTAGAGCGGCATTCCTACAAATGTCATCCTAATCTTTCCGTAGAATTGCCAGAACGTCAAATCGCCAGGACGGCAATTCTTCAAATCCGTTCCTAATCTATTCCTCTTGTGGACGGAAAGCCCAATTCCTTTGTGCCGCAGAACGCACTCCCGCAACGGTCTAGACAAGCTTCCCGCGTAGTTCTACTAGGACAGACATGAACAGGGCTGCGAGAAGCTTCCCTTATAAGGGCGCTTCCCCGCAAAGCTTACAATACAATTATCACTTTTGCTAGGGCGGTAGACTCGTGGAACACGACACTGGTAACTGGCAGCTATGATCTGTACGAGTATAAGGATGTTGAAGTCTTGATTGAAGGGCCAGTCTAAGCTCGTTGTCGTTTGGTCCTACGTGTGCCCTCTTGCTTCACCGTGACCACTGGCTGCTCCTAGTCGGGCTCCTTATTTATACGCTTCCGCTTAACAGCCTTCTTCTTGGCTGTTGTATGTTTTTGATCTTTTTTGCGTGTGAGGGTAAAAAGAGCATTTTTTTTGGTTGTAGCGGTGCAATGATCGAACGTGACACTAGGGTGACGGACAGCAATGAGCTGCCTAGTTACGCGAGGATAAGGATGTTGACCTGTTGATTGTAGGGCTGACCTATGTTCTTTGTCGTTTGCTCCTGCGAGTGCCCTCTTTTTTCACTATCACAGTCGGCTCCTCCTCTGGCTCCTTCTTTATGCGCTTCCGCTTGACAACCTCCTTTTTGACAGTCTCTGCCAAGATGATGTCCTCCTCTTCTTTCTTTATCGTCACCTCCTCTTCCTTCACCTCGACCTTTGCAACGACCCTATCCGAAAAGGCCTTCAGGTCCGCCGTGAACAAGACGGAGTGCGCCCATCCAGCTTCTTTGCCCCACAGCTTCCGGAACAGATTTCCAATCGCAGCGTATGTAGTGGCAGTCAGGCTACTGTGCTTGCCCTTGCCGAACCTGTAGTCCTTCTGTGCAATCTGCCAGACATGGGTGTCGACGGGTACAGACTCGGACCAGCCGAGCCCGAAGAGGCACACACAGTCTGCGACTTTTGGACCAACGCCATGGAGGGCAAGAAGCTCTTCGTGCGCTTGCCGGTAGCCCTCGCGACCACCTTCGAGCATCTCTCCAGCGGGCCTCTCTTCTACGCCAAACTGAGGGCACTCTGGATTGCTCAGGTCCTGTAACCACTTCATGCCCTTGTCCTCGGAGACCATTCGAGCTGTCTTCGCAATGTACTTGGCGCGGTATCCAAACCCAAGCTTCATGAGATGCGCTTCGACGTCGGGGCCTGAGAGGGCATCGGGTGTGGGGAAGTCGTGGTACGGTATGTCGTCGATGGTGCCTATATGTGGTCCGTAGTGCAAGCAAAGATTGTGCACCATACCTGATATGCGACTGATGTTGTTATTGCTACTGCATATGAAGCCTATAAGAGCCTCCCAAGCATCTTGTCGCAGAATCCTTATGCCCGTGAACTTGGGTGCGCGCTTCTTGAAGTTGGCGTCGGAGGCTGCCCATTGTTCGTACAGCTGGCCAAGATTGGGCGCGAGGTTGAAGTAGTGCTTGATAAGAGCAGCGGTATCGTCTTCTTCGGGGGCGACCGAGGGAGCTTTGGAGGGAGGCGGCGTAGGGAGAGCGGTGGTGACAGGCGGGTATGTCGCGCGGTAGTGGAGATATTCGGCATCTTGACGGAGGGAGAGTATGCGACCATGGAGAGCCATGGACCACACGTCATCAGCTGACTTGCGCCATCTGGTCGCATGTTAGGAAATGTTGCGACTCGAGTACTGAGGCAGGGAAAGATACCTGAATGATTGTCCACATCGCAAAGTCGTGTTGATGCATAGCTCAGTGAGGCTTGTAGGCAACTTGTGCCATTCAGCAGCGCGTAATGCCATTGTCGTTATAGTCGCGGTCTGCGCCAGGAGTGAATGATGCATCATGGTCTAGCCTCGCACCCTCGGTGACAGGGGTAAGGCGCCAAGGGAACGGCGCGCTAAGGCAGGCCCCGACTTTCTCTCACACGTTTTCCGCGACGGCAACCGCAACCACCGCACAAGCATCGCGTCCTAGAGCCCGGACTGTTGCGAGTTGCTGAATCATCCACTGTTCCTTGATCAGATCTGCTAATTGCAGCTTCTCCCGCCATCTCACTCCCGACAGCAGCAGCATCTTACGCGGCTGAACACCCGACGGCGCAAGAGCTCCCAGCAGCCACAACCGCCCACCATGAACGGCGATAGCTATTCCAGAGGTAAGCGAGTCTATCAGTACACGTACTGACTAGTGCACAGCTCCCAGAATCAAGACTAACATAAGCAGACGGTGGCCGATCCAGCGGATCGCGCAACTACGTGAGTGCCGACACTCGTCGCGACAGAAGCGAGCGTACGCTGACTGAACAGTCCTCGAGAGATGATCATCGCGATCGCGGCGAACGGGGCGACCGTGGTGGCGACCGGCGCCGCCGTCGTTCTCGCTCCCCACGCCACGGCGGAGGCTCCCGCCGCGACTACGAGGTAGACACGTACTCTTCCAGCCGCGACTACCGTGAGCGCGAGCGCGAAGACACATACGCCCGCCGTGAGCGTCGGGATGACCGGGGCGAGCGTGGAGGAGAGCGTGGTGCCGAGCGCGGTGCCTGGGGCGATTCCTACTCACGACGCGACCGACCTCGAGGAGGAGACCGCGACCGCGACGACGACCGTGGCCACCGACGGGAACGCGGAGACCGCAACGAAAGGGGCGGTGACCGATTCGGAGGCGAAGAGCGCAGAGGCGGACGAGGAGGACGCGATGGAGGCTTCGGCGGCGGGCGTGATAGGATGCGTGCGCAAAAAGAGGAGTCTCCGCCATTCAACAAGCCGCGCGAGGCTACCCCCGACCTCACCACCTTTACAAATATCCAGAAGCGCGAGCGTCGCATGACGCAATGGGACATCAAGCCTGCAGGCTACGAGAACATCACCGCCGAGCAGGCCAAGCTGTCGGGCATGTTCCCGCTGCCGGGAGCTCCTCGCGCTGCGCCCATGGACCCGTCCAAACTCGCCGCCTTCATCTCGCCCTCCGCAGGAACCGCCACCGCTGCCGCCCTTGCGACATCCGGCGCGAAGCAATCGAAGCGTCTCTATGTACACAACCTGCCCCAGGGCTGCACTTCTCAGGAGATTATGGAGTTCTTTAACAACCAGCTCAACGGTCTCAACGTAGTCTCTGGCAACGACCCCTGCCTATCGGCCCACATTGCTACCAGCAAGGAGTACGCCGCATTGGAGTTCAAGGCAGCCGAAGACGCGACTCTCGCTCTCGCTATGAACGGCATTTCCATGCGCGATGACGGAGGCGCACCTGATAGGTCGGGTTTGTCTATCCGCCGTCCGAAGGACTACATTACTCCCACCGCCGACGAGAACGCATACCCGCCTGGCGACGAGGTTTCATCTGTTGTCAAGGACAGCCCGAACAAGCTGAGCATCGTCAATATCCCCACATACATCGAGGAGGAGCAGATTCGAGAGCTCGTCGAGACCATGGGCAAGCTCAAGGCCTTCACTTTGGTCAAGGACACCGGCACCGACCAGCACCGCGTAGGCACTTCCCAACCCAC